CTCCTTGCCGTTAGATCGCAGAATGCTGTGCTAGCAATGAGGGAGGCTTCGTAGGCGTGGGACCCTCCCAGCCAGGTGTGGGATATAATCTCCTGGTGTGCCCGTTTGCTAAGACCCTTGGTAAAGGGCAGTATTGGGGTGGGAGTTACCTGATTTTCCAGGTGTTGTGTGTCTCAGTTCCCCTGGCTAGGAAAAGGGATTCCCTTCCCCTTTGCGCTTCCCAGGTGAGGCAATGCCTCACCCTGTTTCAGCTCTCGCTGGTCAGTCTGCACCTGCGGACCAGCACCAACTGTCCAACATGACCCAGTGAGATGAACCTGGTACCTCAGTTGAAAATACAGAAATCATCTGTCTTCTGTGTCGCTCCCGCTGGGAGCTGGAGACTGGAGCTGTTCCTATTTGGCCATCTTGCTCCGCCCCCTCCTAACTGGAATTTTAACAGGACCATTCTGCCATGTGGAAAGACTCAAGTGGGATAAGAATAGACGCAGGAAGACCAATTAGAGGCTAATCATGGCCTCATATAGAGTGAAAACATTGGAGCTGGGAAAAATTAGTCAGGTTCTAGGTGTATTTCAAGAATCAAGGAGATGTTGCTAATTAAAAAGCAACAGTGTGAAATCAAGAATAACATAAAATGACTGTTCCTAACATGGAATCATGCTATTTACTGCAGTGGAGAAGACTGAATGAGGATAGGGTTAAAAGGATTATTAGTAGAAATTTCTTCTTAGTGGTAACACATAAGCAAATAATATAGCTCTTAGAATACAATGATAAAACAGTATTCCCTGTGTACTCAATCTTCTGGAGATACCCAGGAGACATTATAGAAAAAAATATTAATTAGACATTTGAATCCATGAGTCTCACTTCAGGGAGAAGGCATGGTCAGGAGAGGTAATGTTAGAATCATGTGCATATAGAAGCATTTAAAGTCATCAGACTGGATGATATTCCCAGAGACTGATGGCAAACGGAGAAGACAAGAAGTTCAGGCGTTGATTCTGGGGGCACTCCAAAATTCAAAAGTCGGTTCTATGGCACTGAGACACATGCAGCAAGAGAAGTGGAAGCAAACCAGACAGGTATGACGACCTGAAATCCAAGTAAAGATTTTCCAGCAGTGAAGGAGTGATAAACTAGGACAAACGCTGCAGGTAGATCTAATCAGATGAGGACTTCATCACCGGGTTTAGCCATGTGAGATCACTGAAAGCTGCGTGAAGTAGAAGCAGCAAATGCTCAAGTGGAACAATCTTATATTGTTCTGTATTTCCTCGAAAATAGCAGTTTGTTAATACTGATGTTTATTAATGCTAATATTGAGAATTGAGTGTGAACCAAGTGTTTTCCCTAGGTCCCAAGGGGATGAACATACAAATAAAAATCATGTACACTTGAATTTTAATTTACCTACAAAATGACTTACGTTAATGAGAAGTTAGTGTCAAGAATTGTCTTTAAAGTGTAAGACAGATGTACATTTGCTAGATATATGTCTCTCTACCCATTTCTCTGGTAGCATTTGTACTTCTGTGCAAAGAGAAACCTGAAGAGAGTGGGTGGATTTTCAAGTCATATTAAGTGATACTGTACTAAACATAACTTACATTTAAAATTGGTGTTTAAGTTATTATTGTGTTTATTATAACATATATGTAAAATATAGTAAATACTGTGTACTTTGTAATTCATCATTGTATATCATTCTTCTGTACACATTTTCCCCATAACTTTGTATCTTTTCTCTTTTTCCATTACACTTCTCTTAGTATATTCTTAGGCCTATATATAATATTATGAGATATGAATTTATAATGCTTTCATAATGTTTCAATGCATAGAAACTCAAGGAAAAATACTTTATTCTTTTTAAACTATATATAAAAGAGGGATGCCCAGTATTTTAAAGACACACAAGTGATATTTAAAAATAGAAATTTACACATTTAGCAAAAGAGAAAATTGACACGATGAAGAGGATCAAAAATAGGAAAAATAGAAATTAGGAGTACATCTTTTCTTTCCTTGAAGAGTCATTCCCAAAGGAAAAACATAATTAAACAACTTAAGAAATTTAGAATTGAAAACATAATTGCAAAGTCTGTTGCAAAATGAAAACTTTCTAAAACAATTAGATTATTGGTTCTAGACTTCAAGGATTACTGCAAATGTGATCTTATGTAGCATAATTCTACATATTCATGACAGTGATGCAAACTGAGCTCATTTTCTTTCCCCGTAGGTGAAATTCCTTACAGCCATGGAGAGGAGCAATCACACAGTGACTGAGTTCATCCTGCTGGGCTTCACCACAGATCCAGGGATGCAGCTGGGCCTGTTTGTGGTGTTCCTGGGCATGTACTCTCTGACTGTGGTAGGAAATAGCACCCTCATCATGTTGATCTGTAATGACTCCCGCCTTCACACACCCATGTATTTTTTCATTGGAAATCTGTCACTTCTGGATCTCTGGTATTCTTCTGTCTACACCCCAAAGATCCTAGTGACCTGCATCTCTGAAGACAAAAGCATGTCTTTTGCTGGCTGCCTGTGTCAGTTCTTCTTCTCTGCAGGGCTGGCCTACAGTGAGTGCTACCTGCTGGCTGCCATGGCTTTTGACCGCTACGTGGCCATCTCCAAGCCCCTGCTTTATGCTCGGGCCATGTCCATAAAGCTGTGTGCATTGCTGGTAGCAGTCTCATATTTTGGTGGCTTTATTAACTCTTCAATCATCACCAAGAAAACGTTTTCCTTTAACTTCTGCCATGAAAACATCATTGATGACTTTTTCTGTGATTTGCTTCCCTTAGTGAAGCTGGCCTGTGGCGAGAAGGGCAGCTATAAGTTTTTGATGTACTTCTTGCTGGCCTCCAATGTCATCTGCCCCGCAGTGCTCATCCTGGCTTCCTACCTCTTTATCATCGCCACTGTCTTGAGGATCTCCTCCTCCCAGGGCCGCCTCAAAGCCTTCTCCACATGCTCCTCCCACCTGACCTCTGTCACTTTATACTATGGCTCCATTCTCTACATCTACGCTCTCCCCAGATCTAGCTATTCTTTTGATACGGACAAAATAGTTTCTACATTTTACACTGTGGTATTCCCCATGTTGAATCCCATGATCTACAGCCTAAGGAATAAGGATGTGAAAGAGGCTCTGAAAAAACTTCTTCCATAAATCAAGATTATCTCCACCAGAGGAGAAACAAAGATGACTTTAGATGGAGTGTTTTGTATTTCAAACAGAGTTACCATTGTGCTTTTGATGATCAATCCCCCTCTTGATACGTGACAGTTACAGACATGTAAAATAAGAAAATTGGAAAATTTAGAAGAAAAACTTCTGAATACACAAGAATTTGAATTGAATTTCCTATCTCTCTTATTAAAAACAAACATAAAACTTAAGCCCCAAACCTCTCCTATATCTTCATAAAGTGATGAACAGCCTACCTCATTAGCCTAAGATTTGGCTGACTGATATATATAGAAGTGTATCTATATAGTTCCTAAAACTAGGAAGAATTGTGCTCAATTTTTAATACTTTCCTATGGTTAGTAACTAGACGACATTCATCACTTTCCATTCCCTGAACAGAATATCTTAAACATTGTTCTGCATGCTTTCCCCACCCAAGAAGAATTAGCACAAAGATCCAGAGGAACCCAAGAAATAACTCAGTACAAATGAGACCCAGAAAGTCATGACCTTGCTATGCCTCTTATACAAGTTTCTTGATTAAGAAAAAATTCATTAAGATCCCATACATATGATTTTTGTAGTTCACTGTACAACTCCCAGAACTCCCTTTTTTTTTTTTTTACAGTGGTGAACTTACAAGGACTTCTACATTCAAACTGTGACCTTCTGTGTATCAAAGGGCAATTATCATCATTTCAAAAATAATAATTTCGATGAAGTGAAACAATTTCAAAAATAAAAGTCTATGAGTACACATTGCTCAATAGATATTTTATTTATTTTTGATAGATATTTTATAGAGAGAATATGTTTACACAAGGGTGATTCCACAAAAGGAATTTCACTTAGCATAATGTCTTCCACGTTCATTCACATTGTTGCAGGTGACAGAATAACATTTCTTGTAAGGCTGAATAGTATTCCATTGTGTATTACATGTCACTTTTTTTCTTTTATCCATTTATCAGTTGATGGGCATTTAGGTTGTTTCTAAGTCTTGGCTATTGTGAATATCTGCAATAAACAAGACAGCACAGGTATCTACTCAACATACTGATTTCAATTTCTTTATGCATCTACCCAGAAGTGGAATTGCTAGATCATGTGGTAATTCTATTTTTCTATTTTTAGTTTTGGGAGAAACCTCTACACTGTTTTTCAAAATGGCTGAGCTAATTTACATTCCCATCAACAGTGTATAAGGGTCCTTTTCTCCACATCCTGGCCAATGCTTGTTAACTTTCATCTTTTTGATAATGATCATTCTAATATAACATATATGAGGTGATATCTCATTATAATAAGTAAAATAAGCCTGACACAGAAGAAAACATCTTTTGTCATCCCACTTATGTGTGACATCTAAAAATTAGAATTCCTACAAGTAGAGAGTACAATAGTAGTTACCTGTGACTTGGGCAGGGTGGATGGAGAAAGGGGAAATGTTGATCAGAGGGTACAAAGTTTCATGCAGACAGGAGGAATAAGTTCTGGTGAACTACTGCAGGACAAGGTGACTAGTTAATGGTAATGTAATGTGTATTTCATTTAAAAATGGATCTTAAATGTTCTCACCACAAAGCAATGATAAGTGTATGAGGTGATGGACATAATTAGTCTTAGATGTTCAATCCACACTATACACATGTACTGAAGCATTGCATTTTACCCTACATGTATAAAATTATGAGTTATCAACACAAATAAAATTTAAAAAAAGATGAATATGACAAGTGGCATTTAATTTTGATTAGTTTTTCAATGTAAGACAGTACTAATGTAATTTATGTTTAGAAACATAAATACTCTCTTATTTGAATCGGCATAAGCAGTAAAGGAAGAAAATGCAAGAAACTGAATTAGGCAGGTAGACCCAGAAAATGTACAAGATTCACACAAAGTAGAAAGAGTAAATCCACATTGGCAATCATGGACATAAACGGGGTAAGTGGGTGCAAGAAATAAAATCAATACAAGTTGCAACACACAGTAACGCAGCCAAAACAGAGTCCAACAGTGTAATTCCAAGATGCTCATATCAGACAATGCTCTAAAAAGGAACGCTGTTTATGTTAACTCAGTCTTCTGGTTTTCTAAAATACATGTTATATTTCCCACTAATGATATTAAAATTCCTATAAAATACATTCTTCATTTTTTAAATTAATGTTAACAGACTCAATTAGTATATTACAGTGGCAGTAAATCAATTACTTTATGTTTCTTGACTGAAACTAGAAAGTACATCATTCCAAAGGGAAGCACCAATTGCAGAAAGTAAAACTGATGTGACACATCTAATCTTAAAACACCGTGGTATCCAATAGCAAAGACTTGGAATCAACCCAAATGTCCATCAGTGACAGATTGGATTAAGAAAATGTGGCACATATACACCATGGAATACTATGCAGCCAT